CGTACTTTATTTTTTTTACGCATAACTTTAAAACGTTATAGCTCACCCGAAACGGAACCGATTTAGAAAAAAACTTCGGGTATAGGCTTTAGGCACCGCCTGAAATAATTTCCGGAAATTTACCAGAAACTGGAAATTTCGAAATTCTAAATTACTTGAGATAGGAATCTTATCCCATATTCAAAATTTCATCAGTTATCACTTCAAAATTGTAATTTTCATAGCATTAAATATGTATTTCATAGACTAAAATTAGCCCAAAGGTTATTATTTTCGGAAGATCATCCAGGTTGCGTGTGGATTCTGAAGTATGAAAGAGGAAGAGCGACCAAAAGACCATCACCTCAAAGATACCTCAAATATTTAAAATATGTGGTTCCAAATATTCTCAATTACAAGACTTTAAATATATTTACCATGAAAGACAAACGTAGGTATAAAAACTATGCCTTTTTGATTGATGCCCAAAACGGATTTTTGGGAAAAAATCGAAAATCTGCTAAATTACATCAGAAATAATTAAAGCCAAGTTCGTGGCCAATAGATATCACAACACTTTCTGAAATATTTTTTTTTCAACAATCCAAGTTTATTTTTCCAACTTATTAGATACTAGCTTTCGCCAGCGGCTTCGCCCGCGTGGACCCTAGGGAAATGTTTAGTGGGATAAAAAGTGTAGTGGTATCCTATTATCTAAGTCAGCTAACACCCTATTTGTATACCAAATTTCATCAAAATCCGTTCAGTAGTTTCGGCGTGATTGACGTACAAACACCCAAACATCCAAACATCTAAACATCGCGCGAATCGCGATAACGCTTTAAATATATGACTGCTCGCTCAAACGCTCAATCTGCTTTCGATTTTCTGTTCAGTAAAATCGAGGAGCGATACAGTTGCGCAATCTATACTAATATTATAAAGCTGAAGAGTTTGTTTGTTTGTTTGAACTGGTTCGAAATGGTTGTTACTGGTTCGAATTGAAAAATTATTTTTGTGTTGAATAGACCATTTATCGAGGAAGGCTTTAGGCTATATAATATCACGCTGCAAATAATGATGTGGAGATTGAGCCACGATCGCAAAGGCCGGTAATCAGATGGGTGGTCATTTCTTATGTAGGCGGAGCGATTTAGGATGACTGCTCCGGCCTAGTACGGACTACTGGGTAGAATACCTGTGCTTTTGACACCAATCCGCATTGGGATCTACTCGCGGGCCCAATTACAAATGCTGGATGGATTGGTATCATTTAATAAGAATATCGATGCTTTAACGCAACCATTCCGCATTAGGATCTACACGTGGGCCCAGTTCAGAATGTGGGGTGGATTGGTTTCATCTATGAAGAATATATGTGCTTTAGAACCACCAATCCTCATTAAGAGTTTTGGGACCTCGAATTGTTGACCAAACTTAATTTTCGCAATGGCCCGATCTGCCAAATAAAAGAAACTGATCGGCCATCCTATTACTTGCCTTTGAGAATGTCACTTAATCCTAGATAAGCTCTTAATCCTCGAAATCAACACGCTTTTACATTTCCTATCGTCACGATTTTCTATTTTGTGATAATTTAGATCTTATTTCAATTTATTTCGCTCTAGTACAATACGTTTCTTTGATAATTTACTTTTGCCCGCCATAATTTCATCTTGTACGTTTGCCAACCCTGCTTGAAAATTATTACAACGTACTTAAACGTACTAAAATTAAATTACTTAAACCCGTCGTCGCTCCGAGTGACAGCATCCACCCATGACAATGGTCAGCAGAGCACTGCCGCTGGGCGCCTGCTGCCTTTCCACGTGCAAATATCAGTAAAAAAATGCGTTCAGCAAATTTTTATACAGTATTATACACATATTATGAAAAATTTCCAGACCAATTAAATATTGAAATGTCTTGATTTAACATATATATATATATTTCAAAGTATTTGAACGACTTTTTAAGACTTTTTTTACTATATTAAGACGTCATTCTTTATTAAAACTGACAAAAAACATATACCTTCATAGCTTGCATTAGTTAACTAATAGCGTTACATGCGAATTAAAACTAGAGAATTCGTAGAACTAAAATCTAATTTTGCTTATTGAACGTCTTGTGGCTTGTAGGATCTGGAAACGTCTCGTAACTTCAACTTAAATTAATTTGTTTGTTTTTAGTCAAAGTGTTCAGCAAAAATACATTCCATTCAATTCTGAAGAGTGTTTGATTATACAATAGTGTTGAGTATCGAATATAGTTTAAGTAATTCCAGAAGTAACTTTACAACGCGTGTACGAGTCTTCACTTTAATTTAATTAATTAAAAGATCATGAACTTTGGCATCATTACAAAAAAATCTTACATATTTCTTAAGCATAAGTTGCCAACATAATTAAAATTGAAAAAACGTTCTACTATAAAATCATGCGATACCAATTGCGTTGTCCTACATTGTTAGAGATGTTTAAGTTCAGGATACCGTACCATATACCACGCAAGCCAATCAAACCAATTATGCGTCCGTTTCGCCGAACGGTTCTGGGTGCAAATTCACCAGTATCGAGAATTGGTAGATTATTTAACAAATATAGTGATTCCCTTGATGTAAATGCGATGTCTCTATTCCAGTTTAAAGCTGAATTAAAGCGATTAGTGTCTAAATAATTGTTCAACTCTCAATGTCTCAGTGTATTAAGTATATTGTTTTGTTTGTTTTTTTTTTTTTGTAACTGTTTCCTAGTTGTTTTTCATGGAGTGAGATTGTGTGATCCGTAAACTAAGTAAATGTTTATTTCAGGTTTTGCATGCGATGTTCACCTGTAAATGATTGTACATTCAGCAAATTTAAATTAAGTTAGTTTACTAAATCAAATTAATGTAACAATCGTTGGTGTACTAAATAAATAAATAAATAAATAAATAAATAAATAAAATGCAGTGTTGGCCCAAGACCTTTTAATGTGTCACCTGTATAATGGTATAAAATTGGCATTATCGTACATATTATCGATTTATAACAAAGAAATAACTTTTCTACTTAATTATAATCACTATTGAATACGTAGTAAGTTGTAGAACATCAGCAACCTTTTAATATTCGAAAGATCATAAATTTTATTTATTTTATTACTCACATTTTGAATAAACTAATCATCAAAATTGCAAAAGTAATGTTTTATGATGTTGGCTATATAAAAAAGCGAAGCTTGGCGATGTTTGTATAGTTCAAAAGCGTAGTGATTAACTTACTCCTAATACCTTGCAGAACTTTCGCAAGTGCCATGGTCATGGGATCATCATTATCAGCTCTTCTACGCCCCCACTGCAAGGACTCGGGTCTTCCATATTGATGACTGAGGAGGATGGGGCCATATAACCCTTCACGCTGGCCCACTGTGGATTGAAGAGTATTAATGACTGCAAATACAGCCGGGACCAGCGGCTTAACGGGCATTTATTATCTCGAGTTCCTTCGTGCTTCGGATGGCATGTTATCGTTGGTCGCGGCTGCATATACACTAGTTAGAACCACCCGGACCCGCGTGGTGGGTAGAATAGGTACAATCTCTCTGTCAGGGCCGTGTCCACACAAAAGAAAAGCCCCAATAGTGGGGATATGAACAAGACTGATGATGAAGACATTACGATTATTGTAAAATTATTCCAGGAAACCTTTAAATATTTACCACTTCTCCCTTATTTATGAATGTATTTGATTTTTTCATGTAAAAACCTTTAGATATATAATGCAGTTTATTCATTTTTAATTAAAACTTTTTTGGATGTTTTTTTTCGCTACCAAACCAATTCAAAGTTAAAAGTTTTATAGTTTACGCGGCTTCTTTAGTTTGTGCCTGCTCTATTTATGCAACCTTCGATGTGTAATATCAATCAAGGAAGATGACAATTACAAAATTTTGGTATCGTGATAAGATAAACAGGTGTAGCTATCAAAGTTACATTAGGTACATACTTCCTACCGATCCAATTTGCAATTGGACTTTGTCATTATCATAAATTACTAAGAACTAACTGGGATCATGGCTATATTTTTTGTAAATAGATTATTGAAAAATACTGAGCGCCTCTTTTTATTTTTTACGTCTCCAATAAATTAGATACACTGAATTGAAATTATGTAGATTATCTACATAGTTATGACGTACCAATTTGTTATTAACTTGAAGCGAGTAATATATATCTTATATTTTTCTATTACCTAACTAACTGACTATATATAATGTCTGTTTCTTTGCTCATTTATTATTCCTATTAATAATTTATATTAAACACCAACAAAAAAAAAAGAATATTGGAAACATACTTTATTGACATTTATAAATACGACAACTACAACATATATCACAGACGATAACACCTAGTTGTACACCTATAATTCTTATTAAATACATAATATTGACAATTGTCTTCTTAAAGCTTAAAAAAAAAAAATATAGAATCGGGACTATTGGTCCGTCACATATAAACTGTTTTCATTACTAGATAGTTTTGAATTTAAAATAAAAAGATCATAGTAATGGAAAACAATAAACAAATTCGCTTGTACAGTCATGCGCACCACTTGAGTTTACATCATATATGAAATTAGTTTCTTGCTGATCATTGACCTACAAATTACCTATAAATAGTTCAACGCAAAGTTATGCTAAGTACACAATCGCAACTAAATAAAGAACAAATTACAAATACAAAGTTAAACCAAAATAATATTTAATAAATATCATCGGATAATGTTCCCTGAAATTTTATTGTATAGGTACCTCTAATACACATTTAAAAAGATTAACATTGGTTATTATAGGGATATTCAAATATATATATATATATTCAAATGGATCACAGAATTATTTACTTAAAGATAGTTTACTTAAAGACTTTAAAATATATAAAGTACATTGAGTCCGTGTATGTTGTCAAATCTAAAAGATATGCAAATGTTACTACAAATCGCCAGAGCAACCATCAGTTGTATACACAATAACCAAACCTAGTTAATTAATTACAAAATGGGAAATTTAGATCTACGAAGATTTTTGAATTTACTGTTCAGATCTGTTTAAGTTCAACAAAACATTTTGATAATTTGAACTACCTAAAATTATTTCGTCTTAAATCAAATAACAGGAATTATAATATCAATAATTCAAAGAAAAACATTACTGTGTTGCAACACAGAAAGATGAGACGTTTATCGACCAGTGTTGAATCGAAATTTAAAACGCTCTACGGTGGTGGAAAACTTTACAATGCGCACATCATATACAAACTCAGGCACAAAGTCCCAAGTTTAACAACATAATATACAATTAACCTATCCTCATAAACACTTATCACACTGACGAGCCGCGTTATTATATTATTGACATCCAAAGTAAACTGCTGTTGCACTGTATAATTTTGATAAAACAAATTCAGTGCTAGAACCTCGAAAACCATAGCCAGCCCACGTTGAGGAGATTAAAACAGTCACATGAACATTAAAACCGTGTTGGATATTCAACTTTCGTCGTATTCCTGTACTGCTGGAAGCAGTAGGCACTGACCTCTGTGCCTATTGCGTTTTCTTGATGACATCTGCGTGCAATTTTTCAATTCGCTATTACTACACTCTTTATCTTCAGGTAAAGGTGGTAAACACCTATTTGGTCTTCGAGGTACCACGCATTCAGTAGCGTAACTATTCAAGTCTTTGCACCTTAACATATCGACGTCAGGATAAAATTTGTTTTGTATCGGGAAAGGTAATTTCACCAACATGTTGACGATACGTCCGCTCAGTCTGCAGTCGCCGGACAAACTGGTACACGGACCGGACAGAAATAAATATTTTAGACGTGTGCATACAAACCGTTCTAATAGGCGCATAATACAACTTCATCGACATTAATAAATGCTGCCAAGTTTCTGGAGCAACGTCTCGTGGATTGTGGAAATGTTAGCTTTGTTTATCAGGATTCACAGTATTTAGTGATCGTTTGTATTCGTTTCTTATATTTCAATATTGCAGTATGGGTTCATAATAATTAAGTATAGAGATACGGATAATAAATGTAAATATTTGGTATATGGAATCGTAAAACAAATAACTTTACAGTTGTTTTGATTTATCTATATCACTAATATTATAAAGAGGAAAAGTTCCAAACTTTGTATGATTGGGAGGGTTAAACTTCGGGAATACTGATCTGATATACAAAAAGTTTTCACCTATATGCAGCTACATCATACACTGATAACATAGGCTATAATTTGAGCGGACGAAGTAGTGAAAAACTACTAGTGTCCTATATAATTAATCAATACATTATTTATTCATCTATCTAAGAAAACCAACATTTTATTGAACAATAATTAGAAAATAAACTTCCTATGTCCTGTGGTTACTAACCCCTCTTTTTACGTAATCCGGCTTGAGTATATATCAATACTTAATCAATCCCATAGATATGAAAACTTGGTTCTCCTTACTTTCCCTATTTACTTTTTTCTATTTTCTTTACTTAAAATTTAATATTTGTACGCTAACCGCTTTGCACGAGTGCGACTCGGTCTTGGTCACATTTTAGTGTAAAATTATTACGCATCATATATGTATTTATCTTACTATCAAAGACGTTAACAAATCCATTCCGTTATCATTTAATATTAATCAAGATTAAGTAGAGTTAAATTCCTTCTTATCTGTTTAGTTAAAGAAATAAAACGTACTTGGAAATGTGTGATTCATTATCAAGTTTTCAAAATATTATTTATTGAATAGACTATCCACAGAAATACACCTCTTTCGGTTTTCTACAGTGCTAATACTCGTATCTAATAAAAACAACCTAGAACTCGACGTCGAGCATAACGCGGTCGCAGTATAAAATTTAAATTAAATAGAACCTACTTTAAAAGTTAATGAAGATTTGATTTCATTGAAACTCTGTGCTGCGCTCCTCATCTAGTTCGAGGCTTTTTCAACAAAATAGCATAGCTAATTAGCAAATTCAGTCACTAACTAATAGCGATTGTATTTTAAAAATTATTGCATGTCTCTACAATTCATCACCATCAGCCTATAAATATATATTATCAGCCTATTAATATCTCCACTGCTGAGGAATACAACTTTCCAATGGCCATTCATCGAATTTCATCACTTCATCACTACACGGGCCCAATGCGAATTGGTGGGTGTTAACGACTACTGGCGGGACCAACGGCTAACTTGCATTCCGAAGCACGGAGGACCTCAAGATAATAATGTTTTGGTCATCCACCTTATGAACGGCCCCTACGATAGTTACTTTTCTATTTTTTTTCTCATTTCTCTATGTTACGATCAGCAGTTAGAAGTGCTAAGTTATCTTCAAGAGTTTTCTGAGATTAAACGCTTGCTGTCTGAGAGCTCGAGATATTTTTCCTAACAATGAATGATCCAGATTCAACTTGATAGTGCATGAGCGTCACGATGGGCATCTAAGTACACTTCGCGCCCGACAAGTATCTTCTGTGACCAAGCGCTTCTTGTCCGAACTCTCTGAGAGCTCAAGCGATTTTGTTTTTTTTCACCACGTATCTTTCGTCAGACATGCGCGTCTTATTTATCGCAGAACGTCAGGGAAGTAAAATAAATATATATATTAAATAAAACTTGACGGAAATCGTGTACTAAGTGTAAATCGTGTAATATATACTTCCGTGTGGTGCCTGACTGAGCTCCATCAATTTTGCACCTATCTTCAGACTCGTGTAAAATTGCATGAGCCTCATGACCGGTGAATAATTAGTATCTCCAGTGAAGACTGCAAATACCAACTTTAAAGTAAAGCGATCTGAATGACAAAAAAAAAAAATACAAAAAGAGCAAAGAAATTAATATAACTTGAGTAATCTTCACTCATTCGAGAACGGTGTAAACCTTGTTTCGATTCATGCAGAGCCAAAGTTTCTGTAGGGCGTTACCTGGCCTAAAAATTTACAAGTCTCACTGCACCTTTTTTACGAAAGTATCTGCTGAGACGTCAACTTAACTTTTTTTTAACGTCGGGGCAATGCTTCTGGTTCTGTTTCTGTTTCCCGGCAAGCAACAGGGGGTGATTAGGACTCTTCTCCGTGAACCCACCCAGTCGGGTCGGCAGTCGGGTCACCAGGACACTCAAGTATTAGACCATTGGTCCCATCGCAGATGGAGAGGCTCGGGTCTATCGAAAACCTCTCCCAGACAGGTGAGGCCCTACAATGCAGAGGTGGCTGCCAACCACCTCCGCTAGCCGCAAAGACGTAAACCTAACCTGATAAGAATTTACTTTCGACAACCTTATACTACGTGCGTTCACTGTAAACTACTCGATGCTTAATTGCAGCAGCGCAACGCTCTTTTCGCTTGATCTCCTACTCGCGTGATCGTATACTACATGTCCATTATAAGCTTCAGGTTACATTACCTATTTATAATCAATCATATTTAGTATGATCGAAAACTTATTTTTTTAATTATATTCATATAAATTATAATTTTACAGACAATATCAATACGTAGTAGCTCGGTAAAGCAACAGATAAGCGCCACTACTTGCGATTGTTGTTGTTAAGCAATGTTTCGCATGGGTTGTTCACGGGATGGGTGATCAAAAAATTATTAAGTAAAGGCCTGAGCCCCACTGCACGGGGATGTAAAAGAGCTGACGATTTTAAACAATATATCAGGCAATAAAATTTAATAAAGCAATTAATTTCGTAGCCATTTTGGCGAACACAGTACTTCAAATTGATGTAACTTTTCTTATTTATGAACCGATTGAAATAAAATTTACAATAAATGTTAACGGTAGGTTACCATAATACGATATTGAAAACTGCATTAAAATCGGTGCAGCCGTTTCTGAAATTAGTGAAAACACACAAAACAACAATTATTTTTTTTAAAACAGAAAAAATTATTGTTGTTTTGTGTTCTGTTACGTTTATAGATATCTCTCCTAACAGTTTTTTTTTTCATATATCTTCGATGTACAGATATCGATCGGTTTCGTTTTTATTATAGTAAAGATATAGATGGATAAGACGAAATATTTTTGGGTAGTTTAAATCAGGACCTCAAAATATTTTGATATCTTTGGGGAAATTGATAGGTAAATTTAAAAATCTTTCTAGATCTGAATTTCTCATTTTTTTTTATTTATAATCAGGTATTGTGTATTGTGTTATTTGTACCAGGTTAATTTCTAACCAGGTATTGTTTAATTTGTCGTAACATTTACCTACTTAAATCTTTTAGATTTGTCGACATACACGGAATCAATATACTTTATGTATTTTAAAATCTGTAAATAAACTATTATACATAATTAAATGATTCATTTGAACATTTGTTTATTAAAACTTTATAATAAAATTTATAGGGAACTCTCGTCATTGTTTTATGAATTAAATATTACATTGGTATAACTTAATATTTTTAAATCATTATTCATTTAAAAGTGGGATTTCTCTACTTAGCAAAACTTTGAACTATTTATTTGTGTCGAATTGCATTGACATCTTAGCAATGTTTAGGCTCTATTTAGTTTTATTTTAATACTTTGACATATACTTTGATAATGACGAACGAATATAAAGAATAATGAACATTTTGGCAGCACTGTTTCAAACTTAGTAATTTATCCCAAATGTATCCACCAAAAGACATTTATGTCGCCATAACATCGCTAAGATGTCGTAAACTATAACTAGATATGCTGGTCTAGGTGATATATGTGATAATGAAGTTATATTTCTTTCCACCATCCATAATAAACGAGTGATTGACTACATTGTCTAATAAATTATTAAGTGTCTAATTTACCACTTATGGGTTTCGAATCGTCATATCACCTTGACATACTTTGAGGTATATGACGAGTCCATGACCCTCAAAACAAACTGTTGTTGGCTAGGTCCTTGCTTCTAGATAGGACCAGGCGAAAATCTTTACGTTGACTATTACTTAATAAATACTGAAGGTCTCAATGACTTAGTGGTTAAAGCGTTCAGTCAGATGTTAGGTAGGATAAACCACTTTCACAATGGTCTGTCGTAAGATGGGAGACCAAAAATGTATTACTCCCACATTTACTAAGAATTACAGAAGAAGGGGATTCTCCGATTCGATTCTCACCATACAAAGGCCTGTGTCTCAGCAGAGCTGATGGTGATCACAGGGCCTTCATCGAGGCTTTTGAGACAAACCGGAACTTGTTTTAATTTTATATTATTCGATAGACATAATCTTTTAAGTATTGATTTATGCTACCACATATACCACTCTCGACTCTCTAAACATTTTTTCTTTATTTTAGGTTTGTTTTACACTATTCTATAGTCCCATGTAATAACTCCAACAGACTATAGGTAATATAACAAACGTATAGAAAAGAAAACAATTTTTGACATGATTATCAGTAATTTTGGATTTTCTATTATTTACAACCAAAACTTTAGATTATTCCAGGGCTTTACTTTATATTAGGGCAAAACTGATCAAAACTCCTTCTTAACTCCAAAATACACCACTGAAAGAAATGGAGTATTATGAGAAGCACATAGTAGAAAGTAATTGCCAAAGTAAAACGACAACTCAAAAGTTAGCGTAAAAATAATGTTAAGAAGTTTAAAACCATTTCCTGTTACTATTTACTTTAATAAAACCATTTTCAACATAACTGCCTAATATAGCAGCAAAAACACATTCGGGCCCAAATGTGACAGAATATAATCGCAGGAAATGGTTTGAGTCATAACAATAAGTCCGTTTTCTATTTGTGCACGCGCCGATCACGTGTGTACTGTTAAATTCATAGCAATTGGTAACAATAACAACATGTTAAGTATTTATTTGTGTGTATAAGCAATAAGAGGAACTTGCCGTGTTATTACCACGGCTCACATCTAGCAAGCTAATTTTCCACGTACCGCTTTTCGATTGAACTGAAATTTCGATGAATTCTACTAAATAAATTTTGTTTAAATCGAATCAATCGAAAAGAAAAAATCGAAAACGGATCGAAACCGAACTAAACTACAGTTTTCAATGGTTTTTATATTCTACTAAGTGACATACGATACAATTCCAGCTAAAATAGAACTGTATCGTC